TACTGGAAACATTTGGGTGTTGCTCCTCTCAACCCTGGCACACCACGACCGCCGTTTTGTCCTGATTTGTACTCCTCAGGTGGAGCTGGCCTGAGCTGAAGTGGAACTTGAAATTAATATTTAACGTACGCAACCTACAATACCTTCAAGCACACACGCCACTTATAATTGAACTACACTGTGGAACACTTTACCAGGATTTTCAACCCTAGAACCGCACTTTTCAACGCAAGTTGCTGATGTTTTCAAGTTGTTAAAGGCCAGGAGGCGGATGTTTCGACTTATGTTGCTGTTATTAACAGGCAATGTGTATTTGTGTATCTCAGCACGCTAACCAATGAGCAGTTTAGCTAGAGTATTATTGTTTTTGTGGTTTATCTTCTCCCAAAGATATGGGGCTTCCAACACGTTCGTTATCTAGGTTGGCTTCCTATCCAGAGCTCATGCTACAGGAGCTCGTAGAGGACTGTGAATGTATGTTTACCTTGAGGCATGACACAGGTAGGACCCAACGTCACGGCGTCTTGTGGGTAGGGTGTTCATATTACTCTAACCCGCCCCAAGCCGTCACACAGCTTAGTGCCACTCCCCGACTTCGCACGCCGAGGCCATTAGCCTAGTGCTTTTTGGCACTACAGTCAGTAGCCATACGCTAGACTTTGTGAATTCAGACAATGTGTTTGTAATATTTATAGGCATATGGGATGTTAGGAGACCAGAGATTGGCATGGAACCCCTGGAAGACCTTTACAAAACTTCGCCACCAATCTAAGTCTTCAAACTTGCCTTGAAAATATGGGTTTTGCAACCACTAGCCAGAAGCATCAGGCAGTTCGATGGTGCACTACCTGTCAAATGCATTGCCTGAACCACATTACAGTATTAATCGATTCCGGATACGCACTAGCAATCCGTTTTTCTAATCTACACCAAATATTCGCTCCACTACTTCACAAGCAACTGTTACAGCATTTGAAGAACTGTGTGATCCGGGACCCATTATTAGGTTGGCTGTCGTCATACTTCAGCGGCTGTCATCAGGCAGTTACTTAAAGTTCATTTCGCTCCGCTCCACACTCTACCCCCAGTGGGGATATTCAATGGAAAGTACTCGGCCTCCACTACTTCTGCGCTACCCCAATGTCATCAACACATTTGTAAAAGCAGATACACCATTTTATTTGCTGACAAAATGAAGCTCGTCTATAAACTGCTTCGTGACGAGCTTCACCGTACGCTACTGCTCATTCAAGGTGACTCACATCCCTTGAGTCACGGCCTCCCACCTACGTGCTGAACCGCTCAGATAAGTAATCAAACCTCATGACTTATGGCTACTGCATCCCCGAAGGATCCATCACCCCTAAACATGAAAGCCTCCCTACACAACTGTCCACGCGAGAGCTTGAAATTATTTACTTTCTACCTTCAATTTCTCCGAGCAGGCCCAGTCACAATTAGCACGTGGTTGACAATCTACGTCAAATATACCAAACAAGCTCCACACAATTCATGCCAGAGTTGAACTTTACAAGCTGTTCCTTTGCCTCATCCTAGCTTACCGCCGCCTAATATATGGCAATAGGAGAAAGGGCAATTGTATGGCTGTTGAACCCCAGCAGTGGTCAGTTACTAAACATCTGTTTGGTGAACACTTCTATAATTTAGCGAAAACTGCAAGGAACTTGAATTCGAACAAGTTTAATTCGAGGTCGAAGCACAACTTATTGCTGCCGTTCAAAGCGCTATACATAATGACATATTATGACTTGCCTATACTCGAGTTATAACGTTGCACATTTTGAGCCCGTTGCAACAAATATTTTAGACTGAGCATAGCAAATGTTAGAACGAACGTTCGCTCAATTTGCTTCTAGTCATATATAGCTGTCTATGGGGTAAGCTACCAATAACACTCAAGTCATGGGACCATGCGGCAACATTTAGAAGCAGACTCGCCAGTTACCTTGAACTAACTCCCATAATCTCTATATTCACATATGGAAAATACCACGATGAGCTATTCCAAGAGGAGTCCAAAAACATCAGAAACAAAATTTTCAAACGTAGTCTTTTGCTTCACCCATGCAGCAGACGCTACTACATGAAACGCGTACCCCAATATGCCACAAATGCCATCACCCATGCAAGAGCGTTGATACTATTGTACAAATCTGTGCCGCTACCGACACGGTTTCGTGCATAAGGAGAAGTATGTGTATTATTATTATGATACTATTGTGATAGACGGCGTTTCTGTCTGACTTTAAGTGCACACGGCTGCTTATGTTACGATAATCCCTGAGTCGACAGGGCAAGCTCAGTCGACCGACATTCGTTCAAACTTTACTCGTCGCTCACGAAGCGTCCGGCTCGGAAGTAACCTTCCTTGGATAGTTCCATTGTGAGGTTGCAATTCGCAATTTGCATACTAATAATATTTGTTACGTTACACGTTATGGACAGTTAAGTTTGTTACGCATTGTGCAGATAGACAAAAGCAGTGTATGAAACGTACCCTTTAACAGTGGTTATAACAACCCAGGTAGCTTTTCATGGTGTTCCAAGGATTTGTCGTGTCTGGCTACACCCGTACTGCCTAAAGAGTGCAGTAGTTTAATCATATTTTGCCTCTAATTACCCCCATGCCTCGCAGAGAAACTTGGAATGTTTCTAAGGTAAAAGCTGTGGTGTAGTCGCGTACCGGTGAACGTCTGTTATTTTGTCCCAAAAGAGCAGTACCACACGCTGCTATTGAGGCAGTGGATGCCAAAAGTACTCGACTGGGCTCTACGTGCGTCACCACTTCTATGGCTTACTTAGCCTGGGTAGCTCCTATTTTAGTCATCAGAAAGACTAATAGCAAGCTGCGTATATGTGCTAATTTTTCTACGAGATACAATAACGCATTGGAAACACATCAATATCCCTTACCTGTTCCTGAGAATTTATTCACCAAGCTAAATGGAGGAAAGCGCTTTTCAAATCGATCTTTCTGACGCGTCCTTGCAAGTAGTGGTCAAGGAGCGCTCAAACGAACTGCACACTAGTAATACTCATCGATGCTTTTACCATCACAATGACTAAATAAACGGCTTATTTTCGAATTTATCAAGGCGCACCAAATCAGGCATGAGCAAAATTTACAGGCAGCTATGTTTCGCAACAGACCTTGCTATGTAGGTAAGCAGCTGTGGTCGAAATTTGTGCAGACTGCGGAGATTGAGGAAGTAATCATGAAACATAAAGTCGTTAACGCACGACGCTACTTCGGGTTCAAGTACTCAGTGCAGATATTCCATGCATTATGTGTAGGAAACACGGTAGATGTAGACAGAGAGTATGTTATTCTTGTACGCGTCAAGAAAAGATTGAAATATGTATCTAGTCGACTTGCTAGAATGTATTGGGGGCAATGACGTTATTTAGCAGCCAGTCACATCCGCCACGTTGCAATGTTGTTAAACGAAGATTTGTGGCTTTTCATAGGGCGAAGTCTTGCCAGGCGGAAACTCCCAAGCCCTGGAGCACTGCCGTAACTACTGTTGAACACTAATGTACAACTAGCAAAGCTGCTTGCCGGCTGATTTTACACTGTTATTCGCATTCAAATGACTTCCAATTTCCTCTGTTGGCTAGTGAGGTAGCTTGGTCAATGCCGCCATAAGCTCTGGGGCCGGTCGAGGATAAAAGTCATGAAGAGTTGTCTTTGTACAGTGGCCAGGTGAGCAAAACTTTTAAATTTTTTGGATGGATTTTTCAGATTATGTACACATTCCGGGAGTGTGAAGACATGTTGTCCAGCTATCCACGCTGGACAACGGTCGTAGTGGTGCACGCAGTTGGATCACTTTAGTTTATAGCTATGTTCCATATAGGTCCTTGTGGATTCATCCATCCGTCTTTGTCAAACACCCTGTTCCTCAGTCTAAGTCCAGGTTTCCAAGAAGATAAGGTCCTCGTAGAAAAAGGTAAATGAAGAAAAACATTTTGAAGTATAACGTGCTACTGCTATTTCAACAAGGGATAGGCGTTATGCTATCCAGCTTACGGTGTGTCATGGCATACTTGGATGGCATAAGCACTGTAAGCTACCCAACGTAAGATCATTACACCCACCTGAACGAAGTATTCTCCAGGATAGATTCAGATAAACAAATAATAAAGAAATATTTATTCTCGACTATGCGAGGCACGCCAATTGAGGCATGATCAGGTATGTACAGCTGTACAGACATTTTATGGGAACTGTAGTGACAGTAGAAAATTGTTCATATGTCCATGCTTGGAACTGTGTGATGGTGAACATGCGAAAGAACGATTTGGTTGTAGTGGGATTGGGATCCATTTGTTTGGACATAATCGCTCTGCCATATATCGCAGTCATACCTCGAGTAATAATAGATAAATAATCCTGAGTGATCCATTGGAAGATAACTGAACAGCAAGCTATCCAGTATGATGATTCTAATTGAGCTGCCAGTGTGAAGTTATGGGCTGTGACTTTATTCGGTGGCGAGTCACATTCGCCACGTTGCAGTGTTGTTAAACGGACATTTGTGGCTTTTATAGGGAGAACGCTTGCCAGGCGAAAACCCACCACGTCCTGAAACACTGCCGCCAATCCATTGAATGGCAAGTTGTAACTGGCTATGTTTCTTGTTGAACGTTCTTTGCTCCGTTATTCGCAGTCAAGTTGCGTCCCATTTTTCTGCTGACTGATGCGCTATGCGAGTGGCCATTGCGTGCCTGGGTCCTCTCCTGTTCCAGATCGGTAGGTCAGGAACTAAGCATTCTTTCTGGATATGATGTGTTGATCATCTGCAGAACCACGTGAAGCCTCGAAGAATATACGTTGAAATATGTTGAAGTCTTGGAGGACAGGATAGGTTCCGAAGAAAGAATCGCAGATCCCCCGGGGTATGTAGTGAAATTGATTAGAAATAGGGGAAACCACGGCCATTTGAGCGGTCAAAGCGGATTGAAGAGCTTAGAATGACCGATTGTTCAAGCTTTGTATTGGCAGGAGAATGTGCCTTCCGTAGTCGAAAGTCCTCCAGTCAAGAGATATGTGGAAGAGGTATTGTTAGGTAAATTGGACTCAGTGGTTCATGCCGCGGAAGAATTGTATCAGTGCAAGATATTGATTGATTTGTCCGGTTAGTAAGTTGTAAAAAGGTTGATAATTCTCCGCTCATGTCCAGGTAGAGGAACTGTGTGCCTTGTATTGTTGTCGAAACGGAGGACAATTCCTTGGATGCGTGTCGCCGTACCTGTGACAGACTCGGGAGAAAAAGGAAACGAACAGAGACAGCCACACAGACAGAAGAAAGGAATGCATCTGGAATGCAGTCAATCAATTGCGGCGATGCCTGAACTATTGTACCCCTATGCATGTAATTGTTATTTAAATATCGCATATACACGTATATCATAAGTGGCGAAATACGACGAGAATCGAGCGGAACACGGATCAGTAAAGAATGAAAGATTGAAGATGAAGCAGGAGTGTTTGGGGAGGGGTCAGAAAGCAAAAGAGCGTTTAGATGAGACTGGATAAGTCAGCAAACTGAAGCTAGGCAGTCAGATTAAAGTGGGGATAACAGTAGTGAATGTTGCGAGAAGTAAATTTGCGGGACTACAGAGGCTATATAAAAGGCCCGTTAGCATATCAAACGAAGCTCTCAGGCTGAGGGACAGGGTGTGTTGTGACTGCACAGCCTAGAACACGTGCGTCTCTGATTTCTGGAAACAGTCAGAAAATAGGAGACTGGTCAGACGAGGCTAGAGTGGAGCCAGGCCCAAAGTGTTATCCGTCCAATGGATAAAGGAAGGCAGACAGAGTGCGAAAATGAAAGAATGTAATCGTGAAGGAGACACTTAAGGGGAAGTGGAAGAGCCTACAAAAATCTCGAGGTGTTGCGAACAGACCTTTGGACCAGTCGATGGTTCAAAAGTATGGGCTCAGTATTCGGACAGCAGGAGACCATGGAGATGAGATGAGGATATCGGCTCATGGAGAGAAAGCCGTATTATAAATGTCAGAAAGTTAACAGAGCGTCAACAGGATAGAAGTGTTAAAGATAAAGGCGGATATACTAGTGATGAATCATGAGCAGCAGTGCTCTGGAGGCGGGGGAGACAGAGCATTGCGCCTGCAGAGACTAGATCATTTAGAGCTCAGAAGTTCGAGAGAGGTCAGAAGGCAGGAGGCCGTACAGCCAGAACCAGATAAGTCAGACTAGAGTGTGAAAAAAGGGCTCTATGGGTGAGAAGAGAAAGAAAAGAAAGCCAACGATATGCTCCAGGTGCTGTGCGCAGACCGTTGGAGCTTCCGGTTTCTGTTCATTAGGGTCACGGAAGTCGGAAGGTACAAGATCGTTGAGACGAGCCCAGAATGTCAGCTCGTAGGGTGAAAGTCGTATTAGTAAAGTCTAAGTGCTGACAGAGAGCATCAACAGAAATGGACATGTTAAGGAAAAAGGGGACATGATAATAAGGTTCAATCATGACCAGCGGTGGTCTTGCGGTGAGGGTAACAGACTTTCGTCGGCAGAGTCTCGATCATTAGATCACAGAAGTCCGAGCGATGTCAGAAGGCAGGAGAGCGTACAGTCAAACCCGGGTAAGTCAGCAAGCTGAAGCTAGGCCTCCAAAGTAAGGTGGGAATAAGTAATGAGTGTCATCAGAAAGCCGTTTGGGAAGCAAGTGGCTATATGAAAAGGCGGTTGCATGCC